AATAAATAAGCAGATGAGGGAGTGAATGAATGAGTAAACCAACAAGGGAGACAGGAAATGAGGGCAGTGGTCTGCCCAGCAAAGGGGTCCCCTCTATAGCCAACCACCGACGGAGGGTCTGGATTGCACGGTGGAGCTAGGGCTGGGTTCCCCTCCCGGCCCCACCCTCTGACTCACCCCGTCCCCAGAGAACAGTTTCTGGGAACATGCAGAAGGCTTGGCTCACCTCCCTGGCCAAATCCTGTGTTGACGATGTTCTGCCTCAGGAGCTCCTGTGCTCCTGGGCCACAGGGCGAGGAAGGGTGCAATGCAAGAGCAGGGTCTCATGAGACAGTGGGGGCTGGGGGGCCGCAGAACAGCGAGTGCCAAAGGACAGCCTGAGAAGCATCCTGCAGCCCCCAGCCATGGAGCCTCCCCGCTTCCTTCTGAAGTGGAGTGTGCTGCAGGGTGCCAGGCCTGTCACAGGAGTCCAAAGAATCTGTGACATACTCGACAGCCATCTAATGAGCCTTTTTCTGTTAGCTGGAGTTGGTTTCTGTTGCTTGGAACCAGAAACCAGGAAGTGTGGCCCAGGAAAGTGAAGGGGATTGTGTGTGGCGTCACTGAGGGTCTACTGCCCAGAAGAAGGGAGGCCTTGGTCGGTTCATGTCTGCTCTGTGCAGCCCAGAGCACACTAGGGGGGTCCGGCCCCACTCTGGGAGCCACACTTTAGAAGGGCCAATGACAAAGTGGAGGCTGCCTAGGGGACAGTGACCCGGTCAGTGTGGGGTCTAGAACTCAGGGTGGAGGAGGGGAGTCTGGCTTGGAGCAGAGCAGGCTGAAAGCTCTGGGGGAGGGATGGTCGTGCCAGTTGAACTGTTCTGGGGAGAACAGCCATGGTTTAGGACCCAAGGGCCATTCTGGAGGCTCAGTGGGGAGGGTCTCAGCCTTGCTCCCAGCTGGAATAGTTTGAAGGTGACAGAGCTGCCTTTGGAGGAGGAGGTGAGAATCCCAGGACTGCAGGTGAGCAAGTAGGAGTCCTGAAGCAGACAGAAGGAGCGAGGTGGGGAAGGAAACTTCAACCGGGGCTTCCCTGGGCCAGTCTGGGGGCAGGCATCTCTGGGCAGGGGAAGGGACCAGCCTGCAGCAGCACCCTAACACTGGACTTGGCAGAGGCCCTCCTTGTCCACCACTCACTACTCAGGCCTCAGGAACAGCCCAAGGATGGGGAAGTGAGTCCCCACTCTACCAATAGGCCAACAAAGCTTCTTCCCACCTCCAAGTGGCCTGGTCCAAACCCCGAGATGGGGAAGTCAGGAGGGTGACAGGCCTGGGGGATGACGAGGCACAGAGGACAAATCTCGGTGAGCAAGGCTGGCTGATAATGGCTCTGATAAACCTCCTAAAATAACAGCCAGAAGTACTCTGAGAAATTACAATTCTCTACCCTTCACATAAAGATCACAAGACTGATAACGGGTGGCTGGTAAGGACATCGGGGAGCTGNGAGTAAACCAACAAGGGAGACAGGAAATGAGGGCAGTGGTCTGCCCAGCAAAGGGGTCCCCTCTATAGCCAACCACCGACGGAGGGTCTGGATTGCACGGTGGAGCTAGGGCTGGGTTCCCCTCCCGGCCCCACCCTCTGACTCACCCCGTCCCCAGAGAACAGTTTCTGGGAACATGCAGAAGGCTTGGCTCACCTCCCTGGCCAAATCCTGTGTTGACGATGTTCTGCCTCAGGAGCTCCTGTGCTCCTGGGCCACAGGGCGAGGAAGGGTGCAATGCAAGAGCAGGGTCTCATGAGACAGTGGGGGCTGGGGGGCCGCAGAACAGCGAGTGCCAAAGGACAGCCTGAGAAGCATCCTGCAGCCCCCAGCCATGGAGCCTCCCCGCTTCCTTCTGAAGTGGAGTGTGCTGCAGGGTGCCAGGCCTGTCACAGGAGTCTCAGGGAAGTGGGGGTGACAGTACCTACCGCACAGGTTGTCACAAGATTCAAATGAGAAGACTATGTGGGTGCCCGGAGTCCAGGTGACATCCAGTGGGTGCCAAGGCTGTCATCTGGGGTGGGACAAGGAGAAATTCAAGATCCTAGAGTGAGTGTTGTCAATTCCTCTGTCTGAGGGCTTCCTCCCTCTCCCGTTCCCGGCACAGGTGCTGACAAGTGTCAACTGGCCCCCAGCCTCGCTGTGCTGAGGGACACAGGGTGCAGCAGTTGTGGCAGCAGTGCCCAGCATCCAGCATTGGTGTGAGATGGTCTGGGGCAGTGGGGGCGTCTGCACCAAACCACTTCTGTGATGTGATTTAGGGCGTTGTTCCTGGCTACGTGTGGCCTTTGCACCTGGGTCTCTGGTCCTCCCAAAGAATCTGTGACATACTCGACAGCCATCTAATGAGCCTTTTTCTGTTAGCTGGAGTTGGTTTCTGTTGCTTGGAACCAGAAACCAGGAAGTGTGGCCCAGGAAAGTGAAGGGGATTGTGTGTGGCGTCACTGAGGGTCTACTGCCCAGAAGAAGGGAGGCCTTGGTCGGTTCATGTCTGCTCTGTGCAGCCCAGAGCACACTAGGGGGGTCCGGCCCCACTCTGGGAGCCACACTTTAGAAGGGCCAATGACAAAGTGGAGGCTGCCTAGGGGACAGTGACCAGGTCAGTGTGGGGTCTAGAACTCAGGGTGGAGGAGGGGAGTCTGGCTTGGAGCAGAGCAGGCTGAAAGCTCTGGGGGAGGGATGGTCGTGCCAGTTGAACTGTTCTGGGGAGAACAGCCATGGTTTAGGACCCAAGGGCCATTCTGGAGGCTCAGTGGGGAGGGTCTCAGCCTTGCTCCCAGCTGGAATAGTTTGAAGGTGACAGAGCTGCCTTTGGAGGAGGAGGTGAGAATCCCAGGACTGCAGGTGAGCAAGTAGGAGTCCTGAAGCAGACAGAAGGAGCGAGGTGGGGAAGGAAACTTCAACCGGGGCTTCCCTGGGCCAGTCTGGGGGCAGGCATCTCTGGGCAGGGGAAGGGACCAGCCTGCAGCAGCACCCTAACACTGGACTTGGCAGAGGCCCTCCTTGTCCACCACTCACTACTCAGGCCTCAGGAACAGCCCAAGGATGGGGAAGTGAGTCCCCACTCTACCAATAGGCCAACAAAGCTTCTTCCCACCTCCAAGTGGCCTGGTCCAAACCCCGAGATGGGGAAGTCAGGAGGGTGACAGGCCTGGGGGATGACGAGGCACAGAGGACAAATCTCGGTGAGCAAGGCTGGCTGATAATGGCTCTGATAAACCTCCTAAAATAACAGCCAGAAGTACTCTGAGAAATTACAATTCTCTACCCTTCACATAAAGATCACAAGACTGATAACGGGTGGCTGGTAAGGACATCGGGGAGCTGGCACTGTCTTGTATGTTGGTGGCCCTGTACAGGGGAACAACCACCATATCAGGAAATCCGGCAAACCCCAGGGATGTTCTGCATGCATGTGTCTTCTGCCCTGGTGATTCCATTTGTAGGTATTTATCCTCAGCTTTGTTTGCTCACGTGCAAAATGTGTCAGGCACGCTATTGTCTGGTGAAAGTAAATGAAGACAACAATGTGACCATTCACTAACAGGGGACCTGGACCTGTCAGATATGTACANCATGTGTCTTCTGCCCTGGTGATTCCATTTGTAGGTATTTATCCTCAGCTTTGTTTGCTCATGTGCAAAATGTGTCAGGCACGCTATTGTCTGGTGAAAGCAAATGAAGACAACAATGTGACCATTCACTAACAGGGGACCTGGACCTGTCAGATATGTACATCCACACAATGGCGAAGAATGAGGATACCTTTTGTGTATAGATATGCATGGCTCTCCAAGATAAAATAAGTGAAACTGTAAATGTAAACAGTAAGCTACTATTTGTATATCAAAGAAAAAAAAATCTGCTGATGAATTACAGGCAGAGACTGTTTCCAGCACGATTCACGAGGCACTCAGAGCAGCAGATGCCACGAGGGAGGAAATTTGTGTGACTGGAAGAGAAGAGAGACTTACTCTTTGTTGAAAGCATTGCAAACTTTCAATATGTTTTGAATTTGGTAAGTGTGCGTGTAGTGTATAAATATCAAAATAGGAAAAGAAAACAGAATATTACAGAAACTAGAACCTGTGCTAGGCACCGCTCCCACAGTGTCTCCCGGGTACCTTTGGCATGTTCACTGCTTTGCCTTTGCAGGTGATGAAATGTAACCAGCTCACAGAAGCCCAGGAAGCTACCCAGGGTCACCCAGCAAGGGAGTGGTGGAACTACATCTGTGACCCGAGACTGCAGTCATGTTTGGGGCAATGCCCTCCCTGGGAGCCACCAGCTCAGATACAGTCACTGCTGTGTCAGGTCCAGGACTGTGATCTCTCGATTGGGAGGGGAACCACGGAGGTCGACAATTCTAGAAGCAGCTCTAGACACTGAGTCTGGGAGAAGGACCGTGACCCAGTGGAAAAACCTGTGGTCACGGTCACGGAGTATTGGGGAGGCCAAGCCTGGCCCTACCTGGGGCCACCTGTGTGACCTCCTGACCTCCAGCGGTAATCTTCCCTCTGGAAACCTGAGCACCTCATCCAGGTTCCCACTGCGGGGGTGGGGGGTGGGGGGTAGGAGTAAATTAGTTGACATTTCAGAAAAAAACCCTCCTCCCAAACAGGTACTCAAACAAAATCCAGTCTTTCAGACTCCCGTTCCCAAAACTTCTAAGCTTCCCTGGCTCTCGGGGTCCAGGTGGCTGTAACACACACACACACACACACACACACACACACACACACACACACACACACACACA